AAATTATATCCCAAATTGTAAGAAATTATATCTCTTTAATTGACAATTTTCATGAAAAATAAAGCCAAAAGAACACCAAAAGATAGAAAATTTCAACATTTTTCTGGTGAAAATTATACCTAATCAAAAACAATTAATTGACAATTTCCAGTAAAACAAGTTCTAGTCAATTCAATTTCCTACAATTCGTTTTTCTTCCACCCAGATTCCATCTTTGAATCAAACGGACCCTAAGTGTGCATAGGTTGCGAGTCCAAGAGTGAAACATGATCTATGTTGAGGTGTCATGCCAAATGATGAGTAGTAGATCCGAGGTAAAAGTGATTTTATTGCTGAGGGACACAGGAAGTCTCAATGCTCACTAAGAGGTAGGGCGGAATCCCTGAAGTTCAAGGCCAAGTTTAGGAGTAATAGATTTTGACCTTATAAAATAGTATATTTTCGAAAAGTATTCTCAATTGATATGAACCGATGAGGTCAAAGGAGAGATGGCTAACAAAGCATACCATGCCGGTTGAAAAAGTCTTATCTGAGATAAATTCTTTTAAGTTAAATAACTTATATAACTTACGAGTTTTATTAAGGCTATGTCTGGCGCTGCTTCTCCTGGAATTACAATTGATTCACTGATCGTTAGTAAGCCCCACTTGAGAGATGAATGGTCAACAATTTCGGCTGAGTGCCCTTCCAACAGCTATAAAAATGCTGAAAATCGGTCAAAAAATCACAAACAGACAGCCTCTAAATGTATATTGTAGTTGACATTAAGAGTATGTTTGGTACAGATTCTCATTTTTTATAGTAAATCAATTCTCATTTTCAATCATACATTTTTCAATAAAATAATATTTTCCATCAATCAATACTTTTTTTTTTCTTTTTCAACCACATATTTCCCATCATATCACTATTCAAAAATCAATTTTTTCCCCAAAAATCCTTACACCAAACACGCTATAAGTTTGACATGTCAACAATCATAATCATTAATTTTAACAATACTTATTCAAATTGATAATTTTTTTTTTTTACACATCACACAATGTCAAGCTTAATGTACACTAGGAATATACAATTAGTTTAATCGATAACTTTATTATGCATCTTCACATTGCGGGTTAAATAAATCAATGATCACCCAACTTTATATTTAGAGTTATCATAACCACCAAATTTTATTTTGTTTCACTATAACCACCCAACTTTATACTTAGTATATGATGGCCACTCAATTTGATTTTTTTTAATAATGACCATCCAATTTCATGTGATATTTTACAATGACCATTCAATTCCATATAATATTTTACCATGATCAATCAATTTCATATAACGTTTCATCATGACCATTCAATTTTTTTTCACTAATTTTAAAAGGACTAAAATGATAACTTTGTATTATATATATACACACGCACACACATAATAAATTATTTTTTTAAAAAAAGGTTTTTAAAATAAAATACAAACTTTATTTTTAAAAAAAGTTACTTAGAAAAATAAAATAAAATAAAAAGTTATTTAAAAAAATATTCTCTAAAAATAAAATAAAATAAAAAATTATTTTAAAATAAACGTTTTAAGTTTGTTTGTTTAAATTAATTTTTTTAAAAGNAATAAAAACTTATTTTAAAAAAAGAGTTACGTAAAAACTTATTTTAAAAAAAATGTTTTAAAAATAAAAAAATTATTTTTGTTTTTAAAAAAATTATTATATATATAATACAAATTTACCATTTTAAAATTAGTGAAAATTGTTAAAAGTAGTTGAGTGGCCATAATGAAACATTATGAGCTTGTTTGGATCAGATTAAAATTTGATTTTAATCTTAATTAAAGTTAAACAATCAATATTAACCACATCTTTGAGTAAATTGTTTGAACACTCACTGAACTTTAACATGGTCACGACTTACTCACTGAATTTCAAATTATCTCTAAATGGTCACTGAACT